TTTTCCAGCGGGCGGCCTAAAAAGCAGTGTTGTTGAAGCACTGAAACCTATCCGACTATCCCTCACCTGACGGTGTCTCAAGAAAGCAAGTGTTTAAGGTTTAAAGCAATTGCTTGGAGATCTTAAAGTTCTTTACTTGCACAATTGCAAATGGCACATCGTTTTATTCAGTTTTATGCAATGTTTTTGCTTGGGTGTTCACGCCCACGCTTCCAACCATCCTCCAAATGCTCTCGTTGCTCTCCGATGGTCAGGAGTTCTTAGACCTCTTGGAATCGCTCCTGTTGAAGCCACTGGGCGGCCCAAGTGTGAGATTTCACCGGAGGAAGAGGGGGCGCACGAGGGACCCCTGGAAATGGATTTGAATCTGTGAATATAATATATAATATATGAACAGTAGCTAGTATGAACTATTACAGTCAGTCTGGACCGTTTGGTTGGCAGTTGTACTCCCTTAGGCCTTCGTCTTCTTCCTCCCTGCAGCTGCGCCCTTTCTTTCTGACCCATTTCACTGGGTTCGGAGCTGAAGACTCCAAACCATAGACCCTGGAAGTTCAAAGACTATATTTTGACCAGCTGAAGTAAAGGAAGTTCCCTTTCAGGTCCCCTAAAGACAAGTCTTTTTATAATCTTTGACTCCCAGGGTAGATGGCAGAGTTGATGATCGCTTCACAGATCACCTGAGAGTCAGAGGTTTGCACGGTTTGGTGCCCAAAAAACACGATGGTCATCGAACACCTGCTGCGCAAACGCTGCGTTTTCCGTTTTCCTATGCCATGTATTCCACGCATTCGAGCGAGTCGAACGGCCCGGTCGAGCTGACGATGTGGCCTCAATGGATTTGAATGTTCAGAAGATAAAACCTGATAAAGACTCTTAATAGCGGATAAAACCATTCTTTTCTTGCAGCATATGAAAGTTGTGTCATTCCTTGGACGTCCTAAAGCCCTTGCAGTCGCTCCTCCTTGGAGACCAGGCCCAACCCCAAGAGCTTCGTCGTGTGGAAGCTCTTGGCGAGGCGCCTCGCAGCTGGGGTCGCGGTGGAACGTTTACCCCGATTGTCCGGAGACGATGGGGGTGTGTATTTGAGATCCGGGATGTCTTTTCTTCCAGTGGGTCGAACTCACTGGGAGGGTCTCTCTATGGTCTCACTATGGTCTCTCATATGGTCGAACTCACTGGGAGGGTCTCCGAAACTATGAAAAAAGCACACCCGCGGCCATTGCTGGGCTTGCGAGGGTGGCATTTTGAGATATTTTGAGAATCAGATCCGTTGCTGCGGCCGATTGCCAGATCGGATCGCACGGACTTCTGGGTCCACATGCGTCCAACTACGGGGTCCACAGTGTCACATAAACACCAACACTGGCTGAACACCCACCGACGCTGTGGATACCCCACCTTTCCTTCGCCTTCTTCGACATGGCTGACCCAAAACGCGTCGACTGACATGACCGGTGGAAGTAATGGCCTGCGGTGGAAGACCATCTTCCGAAAATACCAACCCAGCATGTTCATTTCCGGGGGAGTAATCATCCCAGGTGGGGTGTTTGAACACATGCGGATTCCCCGTGCCATCTGTCCCCCAGTTTGAGTGATGGTTTGGTAAGCGAAGTTGTATTGTAAGTGTTGGCCGGGGCCTGTCCCAAAAAACGAATCTGTGAATCAGGCAACTCAAAATGCTTCACTTGCACCACGTTTTGCTATGTTTTGCCAGACATCTCTAGACTCCACCTGGACCAGCGTATGGTACTGTTACACAAGAAAGGTGTACCAATCCAAGCTGTGGTACGCAACACTGGTAATTAAGTGGTACTCATTTTTCATCATTTTTCATTCAAGTCCCCCCAAACGAGCACCACTCTTTCTTCCTTGAGCGATGGCTCTTCGGATATTTCCATAGCAGTTTGACTTTGACTGCGCACATTCATTTTGAGTTCATGGACGAACCAAAGTCGCAGATCAACGGCTGCAAGATATGGGCACCTGTTACCAGGATCTTCAAAAGCAGCTGAATCGATCCATTCGATCTCTAGGTCCAGATGTCAGGATCACTTGTGACATGCCATGAGCTCATGCCGCCCATGTTTGTTGGTGTCATCTTTGTGTCATGCACGCGTATTGAACTAATGTGGGTAAGTACAATTTTTGTGTTGACGTTGCTGCTTGCTTCCGTTTCCATCCGTTTCCTACGTGTCAGCTTGTGAGTCCTTCCACCCACTTTACGAAGGTAAGTGGTTTGTCCATTAGAGAAACGAGCACCTTTTTAGGGACCCTGAACGATGAAACGAGCACCTTTCTACGAGCATTTTGGAAAGAACATGGTACACATTTTGTGTGTACCAACTGGTGGTACAGGTATAGAATTATGTTTTAATGATTTTCCATGATTTTCCCAATCTTTACCCTTTCTTCGGACCTGTTCGAGTGTATTACCACTGCATGTACAGGGGGTGCGGGGAACAAGATAGTAGTCTGACCGCGACCCCACGTGCTTGGAGAAAAAAATACGAATTTCAAACATGTTCTGATCCTTTCTGCGTGCTATGTCGTCCTGCTCCCATCGTGATCAGGTCCTGGCCTTACATCTTGGCTTTCTCCGATGAGGTGCTGTCACGTGCAATTCTCTCGTCGTCAGCCGACCGGTGGCTGGCCTCACGGCGCTCACGGTGTTTTTCCTTCAAAATCCCGCCACCTTTTTTTACTATTTTTCACCCGGCAGGTTCCGTGAGAATCTTCAGGGGTCTCTCCCCATAAATTTTGGGTCTCTGAGTAATTAGACAGTTTCCATGGGCTATGGCGGCTATGCCTATCTAGCTGGGCTGGCATATTGTCCTCACATGGCTGCTGGATTTATATACCCCAAAGCATCCCTCATTTGAGCAACCACTTTTATTTAGGCTTTACTAAAGTAGTCTACGGCATGCTCTATTTGCTTGTCTATCATCAGTGTTCGCTTGTGAACCCACATAAACGAGATACTTTTGCTTGATGACACAAAAGTAGTCTGAACGAAATGGTGTGATCTGCTACTAAAGTAGTCTGAACGAGATACTGTGACCTGACCTCTAAAGGAGATAGGGCCCCCCACATCATCGGATAGTGTATTTGAGTTTAGTACCAAATACATGCCGCAGCACATTTGGTGTATCCTTTGAGGTCTTTGCAGTTCTCAGGATGGACAGAATTAAAAAACATAGTCATATTGACCCTTCTAGTGCACCAAACAGACTGCGCAAAAATTCAGGTCAGCCAGGCCTGCCGGCCATGAAGGTCGGGTTTGATCCACTCGTTGCACCGTGCCCACACGGTGGTCAGGATGAACTTCACAAGCTGCACCGTGCCATGCGCATGCTCGGGGCCCAAAGTGAAGGTGGACCATCGTGGTGTCGCGCTGGAAAAACCGACCTATTTTCTTTGTAGATTTCATTGACAGAAGGTTCAGCTCAGAGACCAATTCCGCCGCCCTTTCACGTCGTGTCTCCTTTGGATCGGAGGCTTCTGCGACGTTGGACAGTTCGGGAGCGATGGCCTCCAACCTACTTGCGATGGCCTCCACCGAGCTTATAGCGTCCTGTTTCTTGGTTTCCGGGAGAGATTTCCCGGGTCCTTCGCCGGTTCCTCCCTTCATCCGATGAGGCCATCCAGAGGCCCCAGCCTGAGGGTTTGGCTGCAGATGGCAGAGGCGCGCGGCTTCTCAGTCGCTGGATGTGCCCTGGAGTGTGCCTATATGGCCTGCATGAATGGACCGTTGAGGGGAGTCTTGGAGAGAGGGGTAGTCCTGCCTGACGAAGGCTCATCACTCCTAGCACCGAAGATCGAAGCACCGGGCGCCCCGATAAACACCACGGAAGACCCGATCGCGCTTCGCATGAAGCTTCGACCGGGATCCGAAGGCATCGGTTCCAAGAGCCGTCATGAGACGTCGTGAGGGTCAACAAAAAGAGTAAAAACACCCATATATGTATAGAACTGAGGGTTCAATTGAACACAAAAGCTCAAAGCTGCTGCAGCTCTTCAGGAAAGAGAGTAGCCTCAACTGATATGACCTGATCAGTTGTTGCATGGAACATCGACTAGACAGACTATATACAGATTTATATATAGCACCAGTAAGCAATTCAACTGTCCAACCCCCCTTTCTCCAATTCACCAGATTTGTTCAAACCCTCCTTGAAAACACCCTTCATCAGATGTGAGCAAGCAAACCTTCCCCTCAACCAGAGGTCCGGTCCTGAATTCGGACACTCCCCAAACAGGCGTCCGGCATGGCCCAGACGGACGCAGCGACCTGGGCTAGGTCGCCGCCTACGACGTGCAGCGGCCCGTCTTGGAGTTCCTGGAGGACCCGACGCGGTCGCGGGACCGGACGTGTGCCTCGTGGTCGCGGAGGGAACTGAAAACCGCAGTTGACGGAAAGACTGAGAAACTCTGAGTGAAACGGCGAAACAGACGTCTTTGGTGTAGATCGGCTGATTTGGGATCTTAAAGTCGAGTCCAAGAGCAGCCGAAGCGACCTACATTAGTGGCAACTTCTATAAAGTACATGGGGTGTTGCGCAAGTTGTAGTCTAGCATTCTCCACGCCTGTTTTCGCAGCACCTGACGGTGGCCACCAGCCCACCAATCCGCCGGCAGCGGGGCAGCACAAGTCGACCCCAAAGTCGGGTCCAGCCGGGCAGCAATGTCGCAAAGACACAGCTAAGACACGACACTGTCTCCATGGTAGTCGGACATATCATTATAATCGGATCATTTTCCCAAGAACTGTAGAATGAACAATGAAGCCATTTCACTATTTAATTTATTATGATGACGATAACTTATGCATGAGTCCACAATCGACAGGTGTTTTTCAGTCTCCTACAGTCCTGAATTGACACCAGCAAGATGGGTGTGTGCACTGTGGTTTGGTGGTTTGGTCCTTCGACACAAAAAGACCACGATTCAGGGGTGGCGCATCGGATCTCAGCGTTGGTTGAAATACTTTGGACACACAGATGTTCTCACATTGCTTGGTCACCAACCTTTCAGACCTCGGCCAATTGAGCCATCGGCCGCCATGCCAAGCTCCCTGTGGGAGCTGGTCCCTTCCCGCGCTCGGGTGCCGAGGCGGGCCCCAGTCGAGGGGGACACTCACGATGGGTCCGCCTGGGGGAGTCGTGGCAAAACCAATTCCGTGGACTTGCTGGTCCGTGTTGCGTGAAGCACGTTTTCTGAAATGCTCGATTGTTCATGAGTGTGGGTTTAGCTAGGTTTAGCATGTTGAGCTGAAAGGCACGACCATTGGTTGACAACCTTGTAAACGGATGCAGCGAAGTGTCGGCATGTGCTACAAGTCCTCTACTTGGCAACCCCCACACCCATCCCACTTCACCAGTTCAAAGGACCTGGGCCCATTCCGGTCTTGGACCCCCCAACCATTCCTGATGTCGCCGTCCCCCAAAATCCCAACAACTGTTACTAATAGCGATGGCCTCCAACCTAGTAGCTTCTTGTATACCTACTAGTAGTATAGCTTCTTGTTACTACGTAGTCGTAAGAAGGAGCCCCTAGTAGCTCCTAGTAATGCCCTTGTTACCCGCTGTAAGACTCTGGTCTCAGTTCCACACCCGGTGACCACCTCCCGTGACCGACCTTATGCGAACGACCGTGGTCGAATGGCCGTCGACCAGGGAGTCCAGCCTCGGTGCTTGGGATCCGATTCCTCTGAAGGCGCTTGGGATCACGTCTGGTGCGTCGTCCGAGGGGCGAAGACGCGGTGGTGGCCGTGGGATGGGGCGGTTTTGGCGCCAAACACCGGCTTGCAGGGATGGGGCGGCTTGGAGGGCTTTGGGTGTTGGAAGAAACCGCCACCGCGTGGCTTGTTGGAAGGGAAGAGAGCAGACTTGTTGAATTGGAGGACGTGGCTTAATTTGCGGGTGAGTGTGGTGAGTCAAGAGTCAATCTATAATTTCGACGCACCCTACTGGCACTGACGATCTTCAATTGTGGGTGTCTCGGTTCTATTTCTCTTATTCTAATTACAACTGTTGAAAGCAGGAAACCAACGTGAAAGCATTGTACGTAGTAGGACGCGAATGGTTCGCCCAGTTGACCCCATGTTAGTACATTTCGCAGTCGTGTATCATCCTACCTGTTCGTTGGCCGGATCTTCTGCCAGAGTTGGGCAATAGAGGGGGCCACCCTGAGAAATGAGGCTGGGGAGGTGTTGGGAGATTCTGTGAGGGATGGACCATCAAACCAGCCAAGACAGCAAGGACGCTGGGTCGAAGTGTTTCTTCGTTTTGTTTTGGCTTCTTGTTACTAGTAGCGATGGCCTCCAACCTACTGACTTGCGACGGCCTCCACCTAATAGCGTCCTTGTTACTAATGAAGGCCAACTCTGCTTTTCTATCCAATCCAATGTCGGGAGTCCTCTGTGTGACGCTTTTTTCAAGAGGTTGATCGACGAGAACAACTTCGCACCTTCTTCGACCTGGATGCTGTAGGCAACAGACGAGTCATGCGATGGACTCGGGTTCAAGCTCCAAACATACCCGGAGTGGCTTCACATCCCGAACATGAACAATAATGTTCGCTCATACCGTGGAATGGGATGTTAATTTTTGGGACACTGCCAAAGCTGTTCCAAATCCCAAGAGCAAAGCTGGTCTTCTTTCCAAGGCCGGTTCCTGGTCAAGGGGCCAGTTCGAGGCTGAAGAGATTGAGCCTTAAGAAATGGAGACTTCTAAGAGTTGCTTCTGTTCAGAGAGCGAGCAAGAGAGAGAGAGAGAGCGAGAGAGAGAGAGATGAGACAGAGACAGAGACAGAGACAGAGACAGAGACAGAGACAGAGACAGGCAGGCAAGAAAGAAAGAACACTTGTGGCGATGATGTGATAACCCATCGGTGCTACCTTAGGGATCTGAGTCATCAGATTCTCCTTTTGACCTTGCCACCATTTGCCACCCATTCCACCACCCAAAGCACCCACCGAAAGCTGCGTCGATGGTTACCGGGATGCCCTGGTTCCACATCGTGCACATTTCTAGACTGCCAGATTCTGACCCACTAACATGGACGTGGAAAATAGACCCCGGGCCCCGGAAAGACAATTTCGCTATACAAGCAGGGATTTTCCACGTCCATGTTATAGTTAGTGAGAGTGTAAGTCCAGTAGACCTTATCCTTAGCTATAAACATCTACAAACCATTTCCATGATGCCTTTGTGTTGACCATTGTTGACCAAAAAAACTGCAAGGATGGACTGATGGACTGTCCATGCAGAACAGCTGAACAGCCTGGTGTTTTGGGAATACAATACACTTATATAATGGACCCCAGTTCTTTCTTAATATCCTAAGGACCTTTCTCCTCGTTTTGCATCCTCCTCTTCTGTCATTTTTGCAACCCATTCGTACCAGGCAACGACATGGGCGACGCTGCGTCGGCAGGTGCCCAACAAAAACCGCTAAAACCGCGGATCACTGACTGGTGTAGGGTTGGGAGATGTTGGGAGCTGGATCATGTTTGATGTTGAAAGCATTCCGGTTGTGGGTGGCTCCCAGCTTTTCCAGCGAGATTGAGCGACACGTTTGAAAGGAGAACACGAGCCATCCGTCAGCCACGAGAACACGCGGACGCTCGAAACGAAGAGAAACGGCTGTCCTGACTCCTACGGAGGTTCGCTTTTCGCTTGTGGATGGTTCAGTGGGGTTGGTTCTGGCCCAGCCACACCGGCCGGGCCTAGCTACAAGAGTACTTCGCACAAGTCTGAGCACAATTTCGTTTCCTTGTGCCAGCTGCAACTGCAACATGTGGGAAGAGAAGAACTGCCGCAGCACTGTGGACAGCCAAGGCTGTCGAGTCCACCTCCACGGGTCACAGAGTAGAGTCAACCTCACCGATGAGAGTCGTTTGTGTTCAGCCACGTACGACCGGCGTCCACCCTACCATACCTTCGATGCACATCCGACCGGCGCCCACGTCATGCCACACATCCGGTCCCCTCGACGTGCCACACGTTAGACCGTTTGTGCCGTTTGCGAGGCGTTTCGGCTGCTGCTCCGGTGGTGAGTGACGCCGCGCAGGCGGGGAAACGTGAAGTGCCGCCTCCATAGAATGACCTTAGAACATCCTTCAAGCTTTGTTTGGGGAGTGAATTTCCCCACAACATGAGCAACAGTTCGGTTCAATCGTTCTTTTCCAGCGAAACGACGTCAAATTCATCAGCTTCACGTTCTACCTGTGATGGATCGACTGGGCCGAACGAAGCTTCGGGCGAGTCATCGAGTGTCCATTTGCTTGGAGAAGCCGGCTTCAGAAGCCCTCCCTCGATGAACTCGCCCGAGTTGCGGTAGATTCATCGTTATATCGACCTTCAACCTCTAATTACTGTGTGTCTGCATATTTCTGCATGTTTCTTTGTGTTTGTAGTAACTTATTTTAATCTCTTACGTAGCCAAAAATGGTCACTTTGCAAGCTCCAGTCCTTTGCTCGCCCGACCAAACCTGGATGGCCAAACACAGACATATTGCTGGTGCCCCTCATGGTGGGGTACTTGATATTTTCTGCTGAGGGTGTTTTCTGCTGCTGGTGCTGGTGCTGGTGGCACTGGGGCACCTGTGGTACCGCATCACGCAGAACAGGCTGGCGCAAACGCCGCGATGAGCGGCGCGCAAGCAGCGGCACCCATGGTGAAGGAGACGGCGAAGAGGGAGTCGCAACGGGTCGCAATGGAGTACCATGGAGTACCACTGGATACACTCAGATCCTCACGTCGACATGGAAGTGGAACATAGGGGGTTTTCGGGAAGATCTTGAGTGAGTGGGAGTGTAACTGTACTCTCCAAAGCTGATCTGCTCATAATATGGGCTCCTGCCATGAGTTTGCACTGAAGTGAGAAGGCCGACCTGAAGAACTCTCTAGGAGAATTAGGCTGTGGAACACAGGTCTCACTGCATCCCAGAATGCTCCAAGTCTATCCTTGTTGAATTTGCACTATGACATGGATGATCCCATGATCCTTACAAAGCTGTGTCTTTCCAGGATCAAAACAAGATCATGTCGACAGTCGATGATATATTGATGATAAAACCTTCATACCAGCACCTTCCAACAGGTCTCCTTTGGAGGGTTGTTAGGCCCTAACAGGTTTCAATTGGTGACCTGTTGGAGGTGCTGGTATATGATTTTCGTCTGGGGTTTATGAATCAACTGTCTACATTAAACTCTCCTCCCGATGAACACATCCAACGGTGATGCCACTTCCTCTCCCAGGACGCGGCCTCGAGTGCCGCCAGCGCGGTCATGAGTGGTGCCCAGGCGCGCGTTGCTACCTGCAGTTTCCTTTTCAGGTCATCAGGCAGGTTTTACAGGCGGTTTTTACAGCAGAAGACAGGGACAACTGTAGATTTGGCACCAGAATCCGAAGCTTCAAAGCTTCCCAATCCCTCAACCATCCTCAACCCTTCTCCTTTTCTCTTCAGCCGACGGCTCGCGAGCTGAGGCGGCTGCTCCCATGGTGGGAGATGCCGCCTCCTCCTTGGCCAGCAATTTGGGAGATGCCGCCAGCAATCTGGGCCCGGCGACCCAATTTTTCGGACATCAACGGCGGAAGGTGGTGGTCGTTTTTGGCGGAAAGAAGACCTCTCTGGCGGACATGTCACGTGGCATACAGCCTTTAAGCTGGAATGTGGCGGCTGTTGTTCTATCTACGATCAACATCCCGGATGGTTGAGTGCGGATAACAATGGTGGAGGCCATCGCTATTAGGGTGGAGGTCATCGCTATACTAGGTGGAGGTCATTGCTACTAGGTTGGAGGCCATCGCTGATTTTAATGATCCAGTATGATCCAGTTGTCGGGGACAATGGATTTTCGGGTTTGGCCATTGCTTAGACCAGCTTGGAGAACTTCCAGATGATGAGGGGGATCAGCATCCCTTCAGAAGAAATGGAACAGTTCCAGTATTTTCAGAGATGTTCTCCTTGTCACATAATAAGAAGTGTCACACAAGTTAACACATCCAAGAGCAGTTTCATCGCAAAGACTGGGGATCCCAGATCCTCAGATGTCACCGATTGAAGCCATTCAAAACAAAGGAGAGTCGAGGGATCCTGGCCTTCCAAGTCTTTAGACTGCGGGGCCAGAGAATCACCGGTGTGGGACATGCAAACATGGCATAAAAAGCCGGCATGGAAGGTGACGACGACAAGTTTGCCTGGTGACCCCTCAATTTCATAGAAACGTTGCCTTTAAATATGCCAAAGATGCCTTGGAAAACCTAGTTGGTAATTAGTGACGATAGTGTGTGGAGGTCCTTCAAGCATGTATTGGAGACTCTTTACACCTATTTGGAGCAGCTCATTATGCGACCCAAGCCTCAGCACCGGACACAACCACCCTCTTTCGCCCGGCAGGCGACGACAACGGCTGCTTTCCTGCCGCGTCCTGCGTGCTGGAACGCCGCAGGGGTGTGGTGCGAATGGAGGATGTGAGGCCTGGGTGCTTGGACCATGTGAAAGGCTCCTGAAACCCTTCTGGAATGTTCGGTCATGATTGGCCCATGCATGCTGCGGGCGTTGCATGCGTCCATCCAGCGCGGGTGAATGGTTGACCTTTACTAAGCCGATCCAAGCGACCCTCACCGCTGCCTCAGGGTGGGCGATGAGCTTGACTGCCGAAAGCTTGGATGGGATGGGAGGGTGGTGGGGTGGTGGAGAGAGACAGCAGAGACCGCCCTTTTGATACAGTCATTTTTCTGGGCGTAATTTTGGATCGGGATGCAGATCAGGTCACGAAAGGTAGCTTGAGCTACCTGAGTTCTCCTTGCTTTAGCAAAAATGTATTACAATCAGGAGTTGGGATTGTGCATTGAATTTGGTCCTGTAAGACACCAATCATACGCCATTCTGTAACCATTCGCCCTTTGGATGACTATTTGGTAACTATTCTGAATTTTGATTGACATATTCCATTCTCTTCATATTTCTTTGCAAACGGTTGAACGAGGCCGTGTTGATCGTGTGAACGGCATCTCAGGTGAGAAACTCACCCGAAGACCTTCTCGGGTTAAAAACCGGGAAAACACCCCGCTCGTCATCGTGGTCAGCAGGTTTCTGAAAGAAGACACTCATGAACTTTCAGTCCATACCAAACCATCAATTAGCCGAACGCACCACCTCTCAACTAGCACTTCGCCAAACCACTACTTTGGGGGAACCACGTCGAAGTCGAACATGTTTCACCCCAGGCACCGCGCACCGCCCGCATCCGCCGATCCTTCGCCCGCATCCGCCGATCTTCGGGGCACCGCGTTGATCAGCCCACCCACCGCTTCGGGCACCGCTCAGGTGGCGGTGTCTTTTCCCCGGTGATCGCCATGCTCCATCGATCTCCAGGCGGGATCCGCGGGGCGCGGCACACCTCCGCGGGGAAGACGGTGCGGGTTGGTGTGGAAGGGTGGGAGCCGTGGAAGGGTGGGGGTGGAAGTGATTGGAAGGGTCGAAACCTCGATTTCTGCCACACATCATCAGTAACTCGCTACTGGCTGCCTGCAAAGTTGAGAACTTACTCTCCAGAGAAGGTGAGCCACTTCCCATGCCGCTTAGGCGCAGTATGGCGCAGTTGCAGTCTCTAGTCATCTCCATCACGACACAGGTGAGTCACTTGTTTTTGCCAAAGGCGGAAGGTCTTGCTTTGGCACCAGAACGACTCTTTTTTTTTGCTAGTGTAGAGTTGCAGTCCCGTTTCCCACTGGGTCCCAATCTATATACTTCTTCCCTGCGTTCTGGCTTGTCTCTTGCTCTTCTCCGGCCAGCAGGTGAAATGATGCTTCTTGGACGTACAGTAGCACGGGGCAGTGACTGGCGGTGATATGATGTCAACGCGTGCAGGTGACTATTCGTTGGCATCATATCACTTACTGGAGGTGACCATCATCCACCGTTCGTGATGTTGCAAAATTTGTGTGCAGGGGTATGTGCAGGAGATTTTGCTTTGAACAGCCAGGTTGTCTAGTGTTCGTGGCCACAGACCACCTAGATACTGGTTTGGAGCTAGGGCAGCTAGGGTTGCACCCCTCTATAGCCTCTATATAAGACTACATTAGCGATCATTAGTGATGCAGGACTGGAGGCCATAGCTACTAGGGTGGATCAAGGGTAGGTCTGCTGAAGAGACCAGATCATGCCCCAGATTATGCCTGACCTTGGGTATGTGGGGCTTCCCCAGCCTCATGGGATTTCCAGGTTGGATTATCTTCCCATCCAACCACTTTTTGGAACCAAATCCGCCCGACAAGCTTGGAAGAATGGGCATCGCTGGGATCAGTGGTGGTCGCAGATCAGTGCGGGCTGGTGGATACACATGTTCATCCTCTGAGTCAGAAAGGTCAAAGCAGGTCAAAGGCAACTTGACCAAGAAAAGCACGCGCTTTCGTCTCCTAGTCCTGAGCTGCTGGTGATTCTCCAATCCATATAAGCCCAAGAAAGCCCATGTAACACCCATGTAACACCCAGAAAAGCCTTTTGACCAACCCTTAAGCCCATGTAACATGACCCAGACGACCCGTAGAATTCCAGTTCATTTTGAGACATCCACCATCCCACCGGGACGACGCTTTCATGGCTGGACGCTTCGAGGACCAGCTTTCGCCCAGCCAAGGTCTTACGTTGTCATCCACTTTGTCTCTGGGGCTGTGGTTGCTTGGTGTGGAGAGAGCTGGCAGAGGTGCAGAGTGTGAAAAGATACATATACAGGTACAGGAGAAGTAGCTAGGACCTAGGAGATACTAGCTTTTCCAATCTTCAGTTTGCACTCAACTAAGCACGAAGCATGTTCATGTTTTCAAAAAAACAATACAAGAGAACACAAGAGGTATATTTGTAGTGTTTGACTCAACCACAGCAATGACCGAGCGTCGTTTTTCAGCACGGTCTGGTACAAGCACATAGAAGCACATACAAGCACACATACAAGCACACATCAGGGAGCCATAATAAAGCTGTCCATTTGGGGCGCTTCCGCGTGATTCGCGTGATCCGGACTGAGGTGATATCGAGGAATCACCTCATCCAGCTGCAAGAAGAGACCGAAGAAGGTGAGACCCTGGCAGCTGGGGATTCTTCTTTTTGTAGAATCTATATTTTTGGATTCAAGCATGAAAGAAGTTGGAGATCAAATTGTTTTACTGTACTGTCAAACTGGATCGTCAAGAAGTTAGGAGCTGTCAAACTGCACCGTTGCATGTTTGGTCTCTGATTTGATTTACTGCCCGACCATCTCAACTCGATACTTGTTCTGCTTTGAGGAGCCCGCAACATTCTAGCAGCAACGGTCAAGACATGTCAAGACTAGGCTCTTGCGTTGCAGGGGAATACACACTAATGGAAAGCTTTTTTGATAGAACCCTCGCAACCTTCAGCCTCGGGGTTGCCATGTATGTTGCTTCATTTGAGAGTATCAAAATTGCGAACAAAGATATACACTGGCTCGCAGGCAGTTTGTTGGATTTGCCAGGATTGAAATGGACGTGATATGACATTATCAACTCAATCAACCCTTTTTGAGTTGCTTTTTGTTTCTAGCGTCGATGGCGCACATTGGCTTTGCTGAGGTGCTGTCGACCTTATCAAGTGCTTGTCTCTTATTCCCCAAACAGTGTGGACACACCGGGGGGGTTCTTACAGTAAGGGTTAAGCTCACATTCCTCGTCGGCAAATTCGCTGTTTGTTACAGCACATTCATGCATCTCTAGATCTGCAAAGTGCTTTTCGAATCATTTTGATTTTTTGGTGGTCTGATGTCGAGTGCAGGAGATCAGAGCGGCTGTACTTCCATGTGCAGATTTCGTGGCAAGCGCAGCACTTTGGACTTGTGGGTGGTCTTTGGCGTGCTCCGACTTCGTGGCAGGTGCAGTGAATCGTGAACTTTGGACATGTGGCTCATTTTGCCGATCTTGGGAGTACTATCACGCGAAGCTTCACTTGGCATCTCAAACTTGTCTTTGGAAGTGCTTCTGTTGCCAAGCCGCTTGAGAACCTGAAAGTGCAGATTTCAAGGCAGGTGCGGCACTTTGTGAACCTGCAACTGCAGTTTTCGCGGAAGGCGCAGCGCTTTGCCAACCTCATATGCATGCTTTTAAATATGTGCTTTGATGTGTGTGTGTGTGCTCTCTCAGGCCTGTCATATTACTGTATTTCTATGTTTGAAATGTTTGGAACTACTGCAGAGTTTTTATTCACCTTACATGACTTGGACTTGCTAAAAGCCATGCAACAAAAGGTGCACACCTTCATGCTCTGGTGTATTCACTTGTTTTCACTACAGCGGTCCTTTTGCTTTCAATGCCATGTCCTGTGTTGGAAGCCATCTGCGGTGGTATCTTGACCCCAGAAGTCGTTGACTTCGCCAGCAGTCGGGCCGCGGGCTGCTGGCCATGCCAGTGAAGCGGCCACTGACTCTGTCAGTGAACGAGGTTCTTCCAGACTCGATGAGGACTCTCCGAAAAGACCCACGCCTTCCCTCCTGGGTGACCTCGTCTCTTCGCCGAACCCGGACGCTTAATGGCTCCACTTCGCCGAACCAGGGAAGGTGGACTTGCGAAGGGATCGAAGGGGGTGCCATCGCGGCACGGCTCCCAGCACGATCTGACCAACTCACCGCACTACTACAACAGAACCAACTCCTTAAAGGGCGTACACTCGACATACTGAATGGAGGAACACATCTCCCGCACCTGCCCGAGATACGGGAGAAATCTCCAGTCCCAATGCATTCATTCCTAAATCGAAGCCAAAGAACTCGTGGCAATCGCCAGGTCCACCTCGTTTTTGTTGGGCCCGGGAGCACAGATGCGGGCAGGCTTATTGTCCTTTTCTCGGCTTGGCAGGGTGTTCGGGAACACTGTTTGGGTGCCTTGACGATGTTTGTCCAAGAACAGGCAGCCAATCACGAGGTTTCTGGGGCCTCCGATGCCCACGGAGCGAGCGAGCCACAAAAAAAACTCGGATGTGCCGATCAGATCCCAGTCCCAGCGCCGGCACATCACTCCAGGTTTGCCAACCTCAAAGCCGCAAACCTAGCACTTCCAACGGGTGCCCTGTCTGGAGACCTGTTTGCGTAGGGTAGGGTAGTCTATTGAACACCCATTGGATGACCCTGGAAGGTATAACTCTTTGGGTGTCCGCTAAACAACATGCAGGAGGAAAGTGGTCAAAGCTCTGTGCTACCCCACCATGTCCCAGCCGTCCGGCTGTGTAGAAGATGTTGAATCGAAAGCTATGACATGCTATGATTCCATGATCATCCATGAGACTCTCTATGACACTCCATGATAAACCCTAGGGCCTAGGGCTCCAAGTACCTCAGAAGGTATTTGGACCCTCCTGGCACCCACCCCAAACACCTTCTCAGAAGGTACTTGGACCCCTAGGGATACTATACTCCACCAGTTCCGCACTTCACCGCCCACTGCGCCCAGGTTCCTGCTGCTGACGTGAGGCGAGAATTTTCCGCACCCCTTCGGTTCGTCCGGAAGCGAGGCACTGGCGTCGTCTCCAACCGAAGGGGTGGGAGTCTCCTGATTTTGCAGCAGACTCATGTCTTCCCCGGCCGTGTGTTGGTGCATGAAAGATATAATAGTGCACCTGGTGCGCCACACCGTCCACCGGAGACGCACCCCCACAGGGGCGTCATGGTGTTCGTCCTGTGAAGAGTCGGGTGAGACACCGGTGTCCCGGTGTTGAAATCCTTTCGGTGCCAGTTGTTTGGGATGGACTCCCCAAGCCTGGGAAGCATATGGATCCACCTGTTGGTCCTTCTCGGAGATTCTCAAGCAGCATCAAGTTCAGGTTGTTGGTCTTTTCCACCTGTTGTGGGTTGTTATATTCCACCTGTTGTGGATCATGGATGAAATCACGGAATGTCTTGTCTCACCCCACGTCCTCACTTTGGGCACTGTGGCGTCAGGGTGGGCCAGCAGCTGCAAAACGGGCAGAGGGTGATCAGTGTGACATCAGCTGAGGCTACAGGCGGTCACCTGGGGACGACGATGTTTTCCCAAGGTCGAGTCAGACTACGAACCACTCCAGGTTCTGAGGTTCTGTGTGACTCCTGGGTTTTGCAATGTTTTGCCTGTTCATCCCGGTATTTTTGAGGAACATGTGCTTTGTGAGGGCGTATAGCCGCTTGTGTGAAGAGTCCGTTGTTGCTTTGAATGAGGTGAACTATCATCGCTCCTGGGTGGGTTTCTGTTCTGCATCAGACTCGGACCGCATCCGGCTAATTCCGGCTATGTGTAGGCAACTGGGACTCCGTGGTTTTTAATTTGGCTCTAGCACTTCCAAGCAACGCGTTCGTTGCAAACACCAAAGCACCATGGAACCAGATGTGTTGAGATCCGGATCGAACGGGAATCCAATGTGTTTGAGTTGGAGATGATGTAGATTGTCGTGGGACCTTTTTCAGAAAGCGCAATCACTAACTGTTTGTTGTTGCAAGAATGTGTCTGGATTCTTCTGCTATGCTTTCTCCTGGGGATGCCTTTGTGGAATGAACTCAAGGGCACTAGCTGAAGATATGAAGGGTAAACTGACAATCATGGCACCACCGCCATGAACACCCTGCAGATTGTAGATCCGCTGTGAACGTTTACACTTGAACATTGTGAACAAGGGCAATCACGTGGCTTTTAAGAGGTGCAAGAGAACTGTCCGAGATTCGGTAGTCACATCCGCAGCGAAAAGCTAACCATCCCTCAGGACTATGGATGTCCTTCTTCTGACTCGTTTATTGAGTTTGAGGCAATGTCGGACGGTACAGGACCTCTTATTATTTTCATGCATCATTAAGAGATGTCACACATCACAATTGTATCTGTGATGATCTGTTTCTGGGACATTGTCATCGTCCACAAAATAACTATCGTCATTGGTACCCGCGCGCGCCCGCCTTCTTAGACTGGACATCCAGGCCTTTTGAGGGAGTGGAGACGTCCCAAACTTGTCCTGAAACCACGGCACCCTACCACTTCGAGGGGTGTTCTTTGTCTTCCACCCTGCGGGAGCCGGTTGTAGACCCCTCCACTCCACGGCCTTCGATTCGCCTTCGATTCGCCGGCCATTAGAGGCCACCCGACCTTTGGGAGGCCTCTTTGCACCTTTGACTTTGAGTTCGACACTGCTGGTGGATGGAGCGCTTTGCTCCTGCTTTGCACCACCTTTAGAACCTGGGCAGCAAGTGGATGCCGTTCCGGGACTGGGAAAGACGGTGAGCGACAAAGCTTCTGGTCCTGCGTGGTCCTGGTACAAAGAGATGCACTTTGACATCGACAGCAGCGAAGAAGCATCCACCTCCATCGTCTCAGGAAAAGAACCACCTCCCTCCAACTGCCCATGGAAGTGGTGTGTGTAGAAAGCCCCTGGGGCCCTGGTCTTCGGATGAAAAAAACTCCGAGTCCAATGGGCGGACCGGTTGAGCAGCGGACCGGTTGACCGGTGGTTGACCGAACGAGGTGGTCTTCCCCGACCCGAAAACAAGGCATCGAAGCAAAGAGACGGTTCCAAGAGCACGATAAAACGGTGCAGAAACCGGGGTCTGCGCGCTTATATATGCTATATGGCTATATATGAATATACAGATTAGTCAGAACATATCATTTCTTTAGCAAATACATCGGCAACAACTACTATATATGAAGCTGCACAAAAATATTGGTCTTCCAATGCTATTGGTTTAGTTTCAGGCAGGTTCTGAGCTGTCTATCTGCGGGTATAGATCACTTCTATCATATTAGTGGTCATGTCATGTCCAGACTACTCAGATGGGGTACTCACGGCCAACGTGAGAATGTCCGTGTTCCTGAAGTTCATTGTTCTCCACCATCGCATTGTGAAAACACCATCGCATTGGAATCTCCCAGATTCGAAATCAACCTCTGTTTTTCTGGCAGATCCAAAGGATGGGACAAGCGCCTCAGCAGGTCCTGCAGGTTGAAATACTTCAGACTTTGGGGTGTCTGTCCTTGGCTCATGGTTGAACGCACCTCCGCGTCCTCTGGGCTGAGGGGTGGTGGTCAATCGCTTGACCACCCCTCAGGCATGCGATGTTGTAGGTCCATGTTGTAGACCTTATGGACCTTGTAGAATGTCTCGGTTGATACTCGTTGCCAGTGCGGCGACTGAGAGTCTCGCTTGACCCACCTTTTTTTCGATGTCCACATCTCCGCAGTTGTTCAGAAAGGCGTCCAGGACTGTCTAGACCAGGAGCGACACCAAGAGGTGTTTGTACATAGCCTCTTAGTGGTTCAGGGGTGTTCCAAAGACCACCTGTCGGGATGGTCCTGGTTCTCAGATGTTTCCCAACCAACTCACACACGTTCCCCTGCTGCGTGTTCCTGCGCCAAAGAAGGGACAATCCCACCATCTCCCTCTCCTACTCTTCCGGTGCCCAGTGTGTGAAACCTGGCGGGCGCCGTTCAGGAGCTGGGTCTCAGCCACGAGCTGTGCCACCGAGCAATGGCTCCCTTGAGGGCTTGGTCTCTCGGCGGAGACCAGTGGTGTTTGAAGGACAGCGGTTTTTGGGGCAAATGGCTGAGAGGCATGGGGCCAGGGCACGGAAGTGAAACGGCAGAAAAGCATGAAACACCTGGAACTTCAAAGGAAAATGGGCAACTTGATGCAACTTGCACTCTGGCAATCTTGATTTTTTGGAAGATATACTGGGTGCAGTTGTACGTGCAAGAGGTTAGCAAAGAGATGTCATTTAGGGGTTGTTTGCAATCGTGGGATCGTAGGGTCAATCTAGAGACATCAACATGCATCCCATAGAGTTGATCTATGTTAACCCGTTGGCATTACAAACTTTTTGATGGCTATTCGATAGATGTTTATGGATTGTCATGCTCCCTTCCTAAACCACGTAGTTGCCCCGGGATTTATATACTTTATTTGCATGAAAAGAGTTTGGTAAAGACTCAGAGGGTTCAGATCAGAATTGCAAACCCGGAATTCAGAGTACTATCCCGGCTTTTGCATTGGACTCTACAGATGTTCCCGTCAACACATGCGTGTTCTTTCTGCGTGTTCTACTACCCAGCTGCCCATCCTCAGCCATCCCAAGCACCAGGAGGGTGAGTTCAGTGCGTGTTTGGCGCGGTGACTGCTCTCAGGCACCAAGCGAAGAGCACTTTGGAGTCCACCACGCGCCTCGACCCGGTGCGAATCGTCCTGGACAGTCCTGGACCGTTTCTTTGGAGCGATTTGAAGCTTTAAGCTGTATAGATCTCTCTCCTGGAACTAACATGTTTGTAATGGATTTCATGGTCTTCCAAGGGGCCATTCTCAATTCTCCACTTCCATGTTAGTTCCAGGGAGTGTAGATCTCTCTCCTGGTGATGCGGGTGATGTGTATTTTGGATGAAAGCGTATGCCAACCCTGGCAACCCTGGCACCCGTCATCCAGGCCTTCTCGCGTCAACCCGAGACGCCGGCCGCGACGCGACGACCGGCCGCGACGACGCCCGACGCGTGTGGACGCCCACAAGCCTGAAGGACGACTGAGGCTTTGATTGCGCATAGACATCGCCTTTGGGTTTAGAGGGTCCAAATTGGTCAAAGTGATGATAGATGATGTGAAATTCAATTGTGTCTGTGTGCGTGCGTTTCGATAGGAATATCATGAAATATCACCTGCCAATGAGTAGACAGGTCTATTCTCCTTCCGAGTTTGGCACCCTTTGATCAGCAACCTTGTGCCTGCTGAACGCAAAGAATTCTGGCCCTTGGCTTTCGAGGGCTTTGAGGGCGTGAAGTCCTGTGATTGCAAACTAAACGTTCCGCTATACAGGGGTATCTAGTGGTCGGTAGCAGAACTTCTAGAGTTCTTTTGCCGTCTCTGTTTCTGTATCAAAACAATCCACGCACGCAAATGTACATACGCTGTCCTTCAAACGGACCTTCTTAGCAGGTTTGCTGACACCTTTCTTAGCAAGTGCTCCTTCTCATGATGTGCGAAAACAAAGGGCGGAGCCCGGAACTGTCCGGAAGCCTGTGGAACCTTGAGACCCCTCAACCCCTACACAAACCAGAAACGCCTATCCAAAGCCACCAGACCAGCGCCTTTTGGAGTGACCAAGGACACCCCGGTGGCTCGGCTGCCCGCTGTGGACGCTGGAGGCCTGGACGCCGTGGACGACGAGCGTGTCGCCGCGGCTTGGAAAGCAGGATGGATGGAGGGGATGGATCGGATGGGTTTGATGGTGGAAGAAGTGTTAGATGTTTAAAAGCTTGGATCAAGTCATATATAGCACAAGAACATCTAGTGAAGTTCTTCTCCAGCATGGAATCTGGAAATCATTTGTGATCTGAATGCGACGGCATCAATGCATCCAGCGAGTCGAAACACACGGGTGTGTGTTTGGGCCACCGAAGCCACCGGCGGCACCAGCTCTTGAGCTTGGCAGCACCGCAGGTCGGTTGCCGCCTGGGACCCTGGTGTCGATGTCCAAATGCATCCGAATGCCGTCCGAGGGAGGGTGAATTCCATGGGCCACATTGCAAGGAACTGTATGAGAGGTATTTCTTCCACAGATCAGATCCATTCAATTCAATCTCATGGGAGGGTGATAGCTTTTGGCCGTATCCCAGCTAAAGGCATTGCCCCCATGATTCTGTCGTGGATCTCCGAACCATTCCGAACCAAATCCTGCAACTAAACCCTGAAAGTCAAAGACTATTTTTAAACTGGTCTTTGGATGACCCGAGTTCAGGAATATCCTTGACTTGGGCGGTGCCCAAAAAAGTCGAACTGGACTTCTGCATTATAAACATTACCCAGCTGAGAAACGCCCACCTGACCTGACGGTTGTTTGATCGTTTTGATGTTTTGATGGGTCTTGGACAATGGGTCCTCAAGTCGTTGATCGGTTCTATCGGTCGAGCCGTGTGTGTTCAGCGGGCCCGGACCGGGGCCATGTGATTCGCACGCAGCCAGCACGTCTCGCATGACGCTCGCATGACGCATAGTACCGCATAGTACGAGTGTAGGCTGTGTTTTTCTTTCGGCCACAGTTCACAGAAAGGACATGACCCTATAAAAGCACAACAAAGCACATATGACATATGACACATAAAAGCACATATGACATGTGACATAGGACATGTTCTAAGGTACTTGTATACTTGAGACACCAGGTATACCAGTACCTTGTCACATCCTGTCCCTTGCGCCTCAGGACAATTCATCCTTACGCAGCGAGCCTGCTGTTGACCCTTCGATCGCTTCATCGAGTACCTTGGCTCAAACAGCCTGGTTGTTAGATCCGAATCCTTCGCTGAAACTGCTCATTACTGCTCCCATTGTACTTTGGATTGATACTTTGGAATCAGCATTTGCAGCCTGCCTCAAAACCGGTGCCTCCGACAGGTCCTGAATGCGATTTCAATGTGACTCCGCGGCCAATGCCAACGTTGCAGCGGCAAAAGAGTGAGGGTTGAAGTACCGTGCAGGGCTGAAGGTTCACAATAGGAACAAGCTCGATTTCCGAAGGAACACATCCACTGAGGTCATATATATATCATGAGCTGCCCTCTCCAGCCTCCACCTCCACACACTTTGGGGTATATCCTGATCCAGTGAAGGTGATCAACTAGCATCCCACACGCACTAGTGCATGATGCCAGAAACCAGAGGCCGCTACGGGTTGTGGAGCGACCCCTGTCCAGGCGGTACAGGGTTTCTTACTGTAACAACAAGTCTTCATGAAGCCCAGCTTCCATCAGGTGAGGCAGGTTCTTCTCTGCACTTCACAACAGCTGTTTGTTTCATCAAAACAGGACGTGCCGCTACACTTGCCGAACGAGGTGAGGTGACGACGCGTCTGGCAGCTGACGGAAGATTCCAAAAGGGCAACGTTTGAAGGAAGATTGAAAAGTACTCAAGTACGGCGATGAGAAGGTGAAGGAAGGGCATCATGCCTGAGATGAAGGGCAACACCCATGCCACATCATTGCACTTGCCTATACTCTTCACTTCTGCTGGGGAAAAAGAAAGAAAACCACTTGAAGACGGCACGGTATGCTCAACAGTCCGACGTTCTTTCGGATTATCGGTGACTGACACTGCCACTTTTCCGGTTGCGTAATAGAAAGATGCTCACCACAATATTAATATAAACCGTATGGTACAGATATATAGGGTCAACTTAATTCATCCCAAGCTGGAGCGAGAGGCTTCTTCTCCGTCTGGGGCTTTGGGGCAGGTGGAACAGGACTTCGTGGTCTACTGCAGACATCAACTCTTCAATCTGTTGCTGGAGCTACGAGAACAGATCATTCAGGCCCCTTTCCGCGGCTGAAGGGTTCGACGTCGGTGGCACCTTTCAAAGTCAAGACCCTACTACAGGTCAAGACCGACCTCGTTTGACCATATAGAAACCCTACTCAATGAGGAAAGGATCAGATTTTACTGGGTCTTGTAGGGTGAGATTCTTGGAATAAACACAAAAGTAGTGAGAGGATGTGAGATGCTTCTAGGATGAGATCATCCAAGATGAGATGATCCAATTGATTAAATGATTTCCACATCACTGCCCTCATGAGGTGATGTATCCATCATCTTCCTCTTCTCAACCCTTGAAACCATGTTTTCGGCCCCCGAAACCGCTCGGACTCGGTGGCACCGAAGAACGAAACGCCTCGGAGCCGTTGTCGGAGTCGAAGCGCACCGCTGCGGACGACTCCGAAGCACCGCGGACGACGCCCGCAAGCGCCGCAGGAGTTGGAACGGAGCCGCGGTGGGCGGAACGTGACCTGCACTTGGGGCCTTGGGCAGGCAGGTGCGGAGCCGACGGCGGTGGTGGGCCTCCGCGTCGTTTCGCCCGCGGTGGAGGTGGAGAACGAGTCGGGTGCGGTTTTCAAAAGCGAGAGAATCCTCGTTTTGGAGCCGAGCTAGCAGCTAAGCTGTGGGCCATTCGAAGTGTATTGAGACTCATACCTAGATCTTCCAACTACTGTGTGCAGAATTTCTGCCTTTTGGCTGATTTTATGGATGAAAAGTGAAAAGGCAGAAATTCTCCATTAGCTGGAAGATCTATAGAAGATCTATATAAAGTGTAAAGGTATGGTCCATTGGTTTCTTGAAAGGACAGCACCGTCTGTGCTTTCTTCCCTCAGCTCGCTCAGCTAAGTCCTTCACGTGCCCAGTGGCTGTCGACTGAGACAGAGAGCCAGTTCCCTGGATCGCTCCGACGGTTCGACTTGGACGGTTCGGGTGGTGAACACACCGAATCAGAGCGCGGGTGGGGCGAGATCAGAGCGAATCTCCCTTCCATTTTTCGACACACCGAATCGCCGGACACAGTTTTAGGAGTATGGAGTATGGAGCGTTTGGGTCATGTTTTCTTCACCGAAGCCTTTAGCCGCTCAGCGCCTCACCTCGAGAGAGGTGATTCTCAGCGGCACATGCTATACAAGAGGTGACAGCTGCCAATTGAAGTTACCGCGACGGCAGGTCTTTGGAGGAGATCCATAGACTTTGTAGAGCAATCATGTCAACCAGCTTGGTTGGTACATCATGCTACATCAACACGACGCTCAAAAGATGACCTTGAAACTCAGTCAGTGACCTCCATTTTGCATCAAAAAAGCCGTGAATCATGTCAAACCACGTTCGACGCCCGTCACCCAACACGTTCGACACCGGTCACCGCGGCGCGCATGGCGCGCCCCAGCTCGGGCGCGCGGGCGCGGCCGCAGACGGCCGGCTCGCGGCCGCGGAGCGCCAACGTGCAGGCTGGGGGAAGCGATTGTGGCACCCAGAGCATCCATGTATGGAATATAGTGTTAATACATTCTGTGTGATCATAAATGGGGTAGATGTTTGGGTATAAGCAAATAATATGGCCTATCAGATACATGTTTGTGTTTTTTGGCTTTTTCCTCCCGACCCTTCGACTCACGTTCCATGGAGGTGGAAGCAGAGGGCGGACGATGTTCCTCGCTGTTCTGAGGGTGGAGAAAGCACTTCTCATGGAACATCAGTCGGAGTGTACCAGGACCCACAAGGGCGGTGGTTCATGGACACCCCTTCACCTCGAAAAAAAAGGGCTCTCTCGACACCCCTGAACCACTCCAGGGGCCCCTGAGTCGGGACGCTGGAACGACCAACAGGACAGTCTCCGCCGGAATCCGACGCGTCGATGCCGACCGAAACGGGTCCGGGTCCGAGGTCCGACTCATCGCGCATGGGGTGTGCGACGTCGTTCTCGCATGGGTGTGGACCATGATCACAGGGGGGCAATGAAATGCATTTTCCTTGTTCGGATCACCTAAATGACAAGGAAAAGACAAGTGATTTCAAAAAGACATGTGATTGGACTTTAAAGATCACCTGAATGACAATCTTTAAAATTGGTCTTGGACTTCTTTGGGATGACCGGTATGTGCGCTGGAAGATGCGGGAGGCTTTCCAGCGTGGAAAGGATGCTGCACAAGTGGAAGCGATGGAGCTCTGTCAACAGAGCCTGGAATATGTGACTTGGCGATGAGCACATGGGGACCTCGTGGCACGGAAGCGTCCGGAAGCAGATCTTGTCCAGAGACTCCAAATGGGACGGGCAGATTGAAATACCTTGGGGATCCTGGGGGGTGGTTGACACATGTTGACACCGGGTCAATGCAAGTCTATGAATGATACCCTGGAAGTGCAAGACGATTTTGATTAGTCCCCCAGGGCATCCAGGCAAACCATGGCAAACCACGATGTCGCTGGGAGTCCTAGTGGTTCCAAAGACGAAAACCATAGACCGAACAAATCCCTGGTTCCTGATATAAACTTATATAGTGGTAATTGGGATGCACTGGGGTCCAAGACGATCCTTTTTAGTTATACCCTGGAGTCACTGGGTTGTCTTGGTAAAACGAGCGAAGATACCATGCAGGTCCCGAATCTGGAAGACCCTTCCGAAGGCCCTGTTGGTTGTTTGCTTTTGGAAGGTTTCAGGGGGATTCTGCCGATTCTTCTGACACCAAAACAGACCTGGAGAATCCTGGAGACTCATGGTGCCCTTAAAGACATGCAATGGCCTCCAACCTAATAGCGATGGCCTCCAAGCTACTAGCGATGATCCTCCACCCTACTAGCGATCTAATAGCGATGGCCTTCAACCTACTAGCGATGGCCTCCATCCTAATAGCGATGGCCTCCAACTTAATAGCGATGGCCTCTAGGCGAACCTATATAGATTCTTGACGATTCTAGATATGTCGATCTGTGAGATCTCCATTCCATTGGCACGCGTCTTGCTCAAGCGATGCGCGGCTTCCTTGTGCCTTGTTCGCAAGACTCGGTGCGACCACTGAGCGCGGCCAGCGCGGCTGTAGAACTTCCAGAACTGGGTCGAACGACCATAGGGCGCAGCTCGAACTCTTCCATTGTTTGTGCCGATGAAGCCGTCAGTGGACAGCATTGCATTCTCTTCAGCCTGGGCTCCGGGCGCTACGAATTGGAGGACCTCAGTCGGAACGGCACCTTTTGGAATGACCAGCTGGTGGGAAAGGGTCAACGCATTGCCTTGGAGCCGAATGGAGTTCTTGCGCTGTCTCGAGTGGAGAGGCCCACATGCCCACGCTTTCGCCTGAAGCTTGACGATGGAAAGGGACAAGGACCAGCTGAAGAAGGCAAAGCACGAGGATCAGAAGGACCACGAGGACCATGGGACGAGGACCACGAGGACCATGGAAGTGGAGGTTTTTTGGACCATCGGGGGACGGTTGCCTTCCATGGCCCTGCCAATGCCCATGAGGGAAGCAGGCATTCCAGTTCGTATAGAAATATTGTATAGAAGCAGGATCCCTTCAAATTCGATAGTTTCCGATAGTTCTTGATTGAGCCACACTTCTATGTGTGAACTCCCTTAGACTTCACATTCCAAAAATTTGGCAAAGTACACCAAAGGGTTTATCCAGGGATGCTCTTTTTGGGTGGCCAGGGTTTCACCTACCAGCGCATCTTTCCACCCAAAGCATCCCAAAGCTTCCTTCTGTTCCTCTCAACGGAATTCAGTCATTTCATGTCTGGAAGGAGTTCTGCGCCGGATGCTGCCCCTGGACGTCCCAGATCCAGACCCGCTCCGGAGCCGCGCGACGGACGGCGCCGTGCCCACGGACGCGGACGACGCGGCGGCTGCGGAGGACGCGCCCGACGCCGTGGCTGCGGAGGTGGCGCCAGACGGAGGGCCGCCGCCAGAGCCGCCTGTTCCGGCGACGGGGGCAAGGAGTTTGCCCCAGCGGCGGCCATTGCTGGTCTTGCCGGGGCACATGGCACCTCTGAAACGAGCCAGACCCCAGGGGTAACATCAGGGGGAGCAGCCCATCTCTTCAAAGCTCTTGAGCAGAGGCCAAGGGCTTTCCCACGTCCGGAGTCCTCTCCAGCGTCCATGAAGCGACAAAAGAGCTCCAGGCGATTAGGGAGCTGAAGGTGTTGTAGCTACCAGCCTCAAAAAAAGGGCCATAGAGGTCCTACCGAAAGACCAAAGTTGTCTTTAGAGATTCTGAGATGCGTGTGTGGTTTTCCGGACGCCAAATGGCTGTTGCTGTGGTTCACGCAACGTGCGAGTGGACCTGGGTTGGTGGGGCTAGAGTCGGCTGGAGCTTGGTTGTTTGTTGGAGAAGATTGAGGACCATACAAATCTGACATCCTAGGTCCTAGCATCCTAGAGTTACTATACGTTCTTGAAATGGTGGAAGAACTCAGACCAGGCCCTCCCGCCCCAGAGTGTTTGCCTCCGAAGCAGCATCTTCGGTGAAACAGCCTCCCGGCCCGTCGACGCTTTCACATAGGTCGTTCTCCGGATCGATCTCCGTCGTCTTCGCGATCATTCAGGCACCAAGAAAGGTTGAAGAACGGTTCATATATATAGGTACCCCAGTACCGTGGGTACCCGAAACAAAGGTACCCCAGTACCCGACAACGGTGAAAGAATCCGACAGTTCGACTATCCCATATAGGTACCCCAGGTGACGGGTTACCCGAGGTACCCCAGGTGTTCTGGGTCCTATGACAAGAAGGTCACACGCCAAAAAACCTCTGAAACACAGTGGGCGCCGGGTAGGTGAGCAGCCAGCTTTTGACGAATTTCCAAAGTGAGCTTCAGAAGCTGAGTGCCCACCTCGAGCATCAGGCGGGACTCGACCTGGGACCCGGTCTGTGGAGGGGAGACGAAAGAGGAGAAAACCCTTGGAAAGCATGTGGTTCTGCTGAAGTTCTGCTGTAGAATGGTGTGAAAGGATTTTTCTGAACAGGACAAGTAATAAGTAATCCTTGGGTCAGCAAGTATGTTTGTTGATGTACTTGGTGTGTAGAATCAGTCCGTCGATGCTGAGCGGTTGAGATACAGATACTGTCAAAGACAGTCATGTTCGTTCGCCAACTGCATGGAGCCCCCATTCTGGGGCTTTTTGGGAGCACCCCACCGGTGGATGCACCGGTGGATGCATCTCTCATCCAATAGAGGGTATAGGTTTGGAACGTTCAACTACGTCGTGGTTGTGCGGATCGGATTAGGGATGATGTTCCGAACTGGGTGAATCCCCCCGAACCGAGCCTGGGGCATACAGATGCATACAGATGCATACAGTATATTATAAATGTGTTTATATATTATATATATAAGCTGTTTGTTGTGTTCCTGGCTTTCTGGGAGACTGCTCCTGAAGAAGTTCAACTCCTCCCAACTTTGGCCGATTCTGCTCTCCCAAAGTCCGAAACCACGCAGGTATTGACCCTGATTTCGCAGGTATTTGGTGCGACCTCACCCAGGTGAGACCTATAATGAACACCCCGGGAGAGACCTATAATGAACACCCCGGGACCTCACCCAGGTGAGAATAAGAGTAAGAACATCATCCTTGAAGCAGTTTTCTCAAGTGGTCATGGAGGTGACTTCTGACTCGAAGTTGGCCAGAACACCGGTTTGAATCCCCAAGTGACTACCAGAAGGTGGGGAAGAGTTCTCGGAAGCTCAAGTTTTAGTATACGGCAAGAGCATCCGATGATTCGCATTCCAAAACATTATCCGTTCTCCGTTTCAGTCTGCACTGACTTTGAGAAACCGAAACGCGGAGGTGGTGGAGGCAATCGAACACCACCAGCAGAAACGTGGCCGCACGAAAACGGTGAATCTGATTTGGAGGTACCAGGTAGAAGATTCTGTGATTCTTCAAGCAAAGCCCAATTTCTGAGGATTCTGAGCTCCGCACGTTGTTTTGGGGAACGTGGTAAGACTATGTGAGACTCTCATCCACTCTCCCGCACCTCTCGCAGCCTTTAAGTCTAATTACAGCGCCGACATTATTTTTCAGATTTTGATGTAGTTAACATTGACAGTCTAAGTATTGATGCTATTCAAAACTGTCTTTACTGTCATAGTCTAGTTGAATAGTCGTAGTAAGTCTTAGTTTTGACCAATTTAATATTTCTGGCAGTGCTCTTTGTTCGCTTCACCCGCCGCCTTTTGGTGCCTCTTCTCACCCGCTGCCCGGTTGAGAATGATAAAGAGGACCACTTGCTGCAGATCTATAGATTCCCATCACGAATATTTTTTTGGAGCCAACATCCAGACTCAACCTCCACCGACCCCCCCTTCCTGTCCATTGGACCCATTTATAAAGACATGAGCCCCCTCTACTCAACATGGCTTCCGAGTCCCAAATCAACATGGCTTCCGAGTTGCTACACGAATGCAGCCACACTCCCTGGAACAATCACGGAAGCGTAACATGGCATAACAAGAACATGGATGACTATGTTCCTACAAACACTGTGCTTTTCCGCTTCCATGATGATTTCAGTCGAGTGTTCCTTTTTCCATGTCCTTCCCAAGGAAGGCGGAAGAGAAGTTGGACTCCATCTTCAAGGCCCAGACGCAAAGCTGGAGGCCTCGCAGCGAGAGCCCCAAGCGGAACTACTTCGCAGGCGCTTCTATCGTCGGCTCCGCCCTCCGACGGTAGCAGCGGGTGTGCGCAAAAGGCCGGTGATCCAAAAAGGATACCGAACTTGAGGATCTGTCTCCTCCTGGACCCTTCAAACCAGCTAACAGTCTCCAACCCTAAACCCTAAACCCTACATAAATCTACATTAACACTGTCTCCCTGCTCACCCGTACCGATCGGAGGGTGGCAGGATCGGGATGTCTAGGGGTGGTGGGAGTGTGATTCTTGGGAGTGTGTGGCGTGGAGGAGCTTCTAACGCTTGTTTGGGTGAACATGGCCAGTCAGCTAGGTGAGTGAGTGCAGTGAGATCCTTAGCGAATGGACACAGAGCGAATCCAGGGGGAGGTTTGGAGGTTGTATATGTTTTTCTTTGGAGGGAGGTGTGAGTGTTGATGTTGACTGCGTGCACGCTGAAACCAGCTATGAAGAGCTGTGTGTGTGTGCTCTTTTGCACACGTATATTCCCATGGACATTCCTATCAGAATTCCACTAGAATGAAGGGTAGTGTATACGCATACCATGGTAGTGTATATGGTATACCCATGGTAGTACACATATTATATCCCTATTCCCTATGGTAGTATGGTATGATGGGTTTACGCAGTCATCGCCTATGACTCCGGATGGGTTCCGGATGGGCTGGGGATGCCACAGATCGAAGGCTATGGATCGATCTGGAGAATCAGAAACGCAGATGCGAACGCAGATGCGAACGCAGGGTGTGTTTTGTTTCTTCTTTCTGGAAAGCAGGATCAAAAGCAGGATGGTAGTTGGTTTGAAGACATTAGTAGGTGTTGTCCGGGTTTTGATCGATTCTTGCCAGTCTATCTGTTGACCATGCGGTGCAGTCGTATCTATTTGGTTATACCATTGACCACAGTCTGTGGCACACGTCGTGGCCTGCAGGCCTCGCGCATGACGGTGGGCAGATCGAGGCGGATGGTCCAGTTGATTCTCTGACATCATGTCACGAAAGGTAGGAAGATCTCATGTACTTCAAATTCTAGCCATTCTAGCCGAGCCGATTCTAGCCAGAGCATGCAAGAGTTCTGTATGCATACCGGGAGAGTACTTTTTTAACGTTGAACCGAACCGCATTATGCCCCAGCCTGCAGCCCTAAAGATGGCGGTGTAGACCATGCAGCAGCCTTTGGACATGAAGTTCTGAAGGTCATGCAAAGAGCTGCTTTGCTTCGAGCATCTTGCCATGACATGTCGGTCATTCGATAGAGAATTTGACTACGTATTGAGCCTTGAGCTCTCCGCTGCCTGTCGCGGGCCTCCGGGGTCACCAAACAGCGTAGCTTCGGAGACAGGCCAATCGACAGCTGGTCCGACGGCGCGATGAACAGATCAAGAACATGCTGGTGCTCTTGGAAAAGCTGGCGACTTGGGCGCAGTTTGTCACCAGGCCCTGAAACGGCGACAGGTGCTTTGCTTATAAGTCTTCCGGCTGGTCAGCCGGCATCGGCTCGCGACAGATGGGTTGAAGCGCTCCAGTTTCACCGGCCCTGGAGGGACATGAGGATCCGCCGGTACACCCAAATAAAAACCCCACATGAGCAGGAAAACGTCCTTGCTCCCAGCCATCCTACTTGCTCCCCAAATCCACCTGAGTGGCTGTCATCACTGGGACGACTCTCCATCTCCTCCCAGTCGCTCCGGGTTCGACTCCGTCGTGAAAAACCCGAGTTCCACCAGCGTTGCGTGTCCAGCCGTTTCAGGACGAACGCTGCGCCGGTTTGGAGGGTCTCCAGCGCTTGGAGATGCAAATGGCGCAGTCCTCGGCGCCGTGGCAGTCGAAGAGTTCGGGGACGGAACCGTTGGAGGTGGATGGGAGTGTTGTTGTTGTTGTTGTTGGTGGTGGTGGTGGTGGTGGTGGGTGTGGTGGTGGGTGTGGTGGTTGGTGTGGTGGTTGGTGTGTTGGTTGGTGTGGTGGTTGGTATGTTGGTGGTGTGTTGGTTGGTGTGGCGGTTGGTGTACTGGCTGGCTGGATGGCTGGCTGGCTGGCTGGCTGGCGTTGGTTGTTTTTTGTTTTTGTTGTTTGTTTGTTTGTTTGTGGTTGGATGGTTGTTTGATTGCTTGGTTGTTTGTGTGGTTCTTTGGTTGTTAGATGGTTCGTTCGTTAGTTAGTTAGTCAGTCAGTCAGTTAGTTAGTTTAGTTAGTTTAGTTTAGTTTAGTTTAGTTAATTAGTTTGTTAAGTAAGTAAGTTAGTTAGTTAAGGTTATTTAAGTGTAGTTAAGTTTAGTTAGTTTAGCTAAGTTTAGTTAAGTTAAGTTTTGTTAAGATTAGTTTAGTTTACTTAAGTTTAGTTCAGTTTTGTTAGTTAGTTAGTTGGTTGGTTAGTTAGTTGGTTAGTTAGTTATTTAGGAAGTTGGTTAGGTAGGTAGTTAAACAATGTTAATCAGTTAGTAAGTTAGTTCAGTTTAGGTTAGTTTATTCGTTTTAAGTAAGTAAGTTAGTTAGCTAGTTAGTTAGTTTAGTTTAGTTTAGCTTAGTCAGTTTAGTTAGTTTAGTTTAGTTTAGTTTAGTTCAGTTTTGTTAGTTAGTTAGTTAGTTGGGTAGTTGGTTGGTGAGTTAGTTAATTAGTTATACTTTAGTTAGTTCGTTAGTTTAGTTAGTTTAGTTAGTTAGTTAGTTAAGTTTAGTGCAGTTTAGTGCAGTTTAGTGTAGCTTAGTGTAGCTTAGTGTAGTTTAGTGTAGTTTAGTGTAGTTTAATGTAGTTACTTAGTTAGTTAGTTAAGTTAGTATGTTAGTAAGTTAGTACGTTAGTTAGTTAGTTAGTCAGTCAGTTAGTTAGTTAGTTAGTTCGTTCTGTTTGTTTGTTGGTCGGTTTGTTTGTCTGTTTGTAGGGAGCCAGCAGATAGGATGGTCTTTGCTGGGACTTGGCTCTTTCCCTGATGCCGAAAGAAACCACTCCGGGGTGTCTAGGAGGGAGTGCCAATTCAGCAGAGGCCATTCCAAACGGAGGGGCCAAGCAATCGCAGTCATGTGAAGTATGGTCCGTTCTGACAAGGTCACATCTGGTCACATATGATGTCAGTGTATGTGACAATGTCCTTGAACTGTGCGATGATCTGCCATGTTTTTTTCCACTCCTGGGATCCTCATCTCGTTGTTGGCATCTTCTCTTCGGCTCGGCGCTGTTGGCGCCAGCGCGGTGCCGGTCACCGAAACAAGCGCTGCGTCGCACGCGCCGTCAACGCCCCAGGAGAAGCTCGATTTGATTGCCTCTCGGCACGGTCGGAGAGTGTGTCTGTTCCGCGGGGAACGGAACGACGGTTTCGGTTCCGTAAGGGTTTCGGTGCACCGAAGAAAGTTCTTCTTTTTTGAAACAATAGGTCCAGGAGTGGAAGACGGCAGGCCATGGATGGAGTGTTTGAAGAGGCCGAATGTGGAGGTTCATGGTTCATGGCGGAAGGAGAGTTTTTGTTGAGAGTCGAGAGTTTGGAATGGAGTCAAAGTGAATTCCTATCCAAAGGTCCAACAGTCCAACGCAAAGGTTGTCCTGGAGTTCTTTTTTCAACAACACAACAGATCCTTGCCATCAATTCCCACAAAACGAGTCAGGGCACTCAGTAGATCATGCGTCAGATCCCTACCCTTGAGGTGGAACCCCAGTTTTTCGCCATGGTCAGGTCCCACTTGGAGCCCTTAAGTTTGGCGCAGGTTTTGACGGAATTCTTCTTCCATCTTCTTCCAAATGAACGGAACCTCCAACACCTTCCGCCCCACCCCCCCCTGTCCAGGAGCGCTCGGTGCAGCTGGCGCTGGAGAAAGAGCCTCAGGCGGAGAGCCCAGTGGTGAGCATGAGTCCAAGGAGTTGGAGACTGGAGCGCTCAGAGAGCCTTGGACGCGGAGCGTGGAGGTTGGCGTGATGTGCTAAATAAATGCCGTGATTGGGTGGGTGGGTGAGTTTTCTTTTTTAACCGCTCCGAAAAATCGGCCAACAGTCACGACGTGTCAACGTTTGTTTTCGTCTTCTTTTGGCAGGGCCGATAAGAGATCGAAGACAAGATCCAAGACGAGATTTTGAGAACTTCTTCTTTTTGGTGGCCGAGACATTACTTGATTGTTTCTTTTATGAAGGCCACCTTGCGGGGTGGTGGTTTCAGAAATCGTCATGATATTTCTATGTTCAACCGTTGCTTGGGATGATTGCGGATTGAACCCAATGACACCACCAACCAGCTTGACATTTCACTTCATAACGGATCCTGTTGGTTGAAGGCCACACTTGATGGCCACAGTAGAGCATACATCCATTGTTTCCAGCATACATACTGGAGTAATTATCGCTCAAAACACGCAGAGAATATAATACAATCGAAACAGATCGAACCGACGGTCAACCATCCCCCAGCCGCGCTTTCAGAACCCATGGACCCAACACCAGGAGGACGCAAGAACACCCCTTCGGAGTTCCCAGCCTCGCGGAGAGGGTTTCACAAACACGTTGGGTGGTAGAGGAAAGTCATCTTTCAAAGGCGATACATGCTATCAGGTTCCATGTGGATCTCTTCCCGCGTGTAGTGCCCCAACACTTGGGTTTTTGGGATGAAGGAGGACCCAGCCGAAAACCACTTTCTGTCCGCGCTCATGCGCACTCGTTTGAGCCATGCGGAGAATCATGCGTCCTTCGGATTCCCCCGAGTTCGCAGCAATTCCTGACGAAGAATGAGATGGTTCAAATGCAACAGTGACTTGGAGAACATCTGAAAACCCCTTATCTTGTTCGCTCTGAATTCCTTGCTTCGCGTGAGTCGAAAAGAACATCCAGGGTGCGCACATGGGCGGACCTGCAAACCGGGCGGGTTGTGGCGGCGGTTCCGCGGTGATCACAGGGAGAGAGTGGAAGCGGTGCCCGCGCATGTTGCGGTGGATGCTGATGTTCACAGGTCAGGCATTGGTTGTAGCTTGGCAATCCTGCTAGGAGAACGATGGACATATTTGCAGGTGAGAATGAGAATGATCTATACGACTGCAGATCGGAATTGAATAGCCCAATCTATTGGCGGTGCGCATCCATGCGCGCAGGTTGGAATTTGCAATGTTGATGCCTGCTTTGTTGTAGGTTGCCAACCTACCGGGAGAATGATGGATGTTTGATGTTTGCAGGTATTCATGCCTGCTTTATTGGCTATATATGTTGGCCACTGTACTGCGAGAATGCCTTTTAAATGTTTTCAGGTCAGAATGCGACATGATTCATGATGCCTTTTAGTCTGAAGGTTGACAACCTACAGCGAGAATGACGGATGTTTTCAAGGCGCAATTCATGCGCATGATGCTTGCTGTCGGTTGTTTGTAGGTTGGCAAGCAACCATAACAAGGTGTGATTCTTTTTGTTGTTGGGCTGCAGAGAAGAGCCTAATACAATGGTTTCAGAGTAGATGGCACAGACCCCAAGATGTCCTTTAGATGGGGGTCCATATAAACCACCTACTCTCAATCCACCATATATTGCCTATAAATGTGTCTCTAAATGATAGATGCTGGGTGGCAATTTTCGAGACACAGAGGATGACGGACTCTGAAAAAGCCCAGGGGACCTTTTGGTGTTGGGGTTCTTTTCATGCCTTGGACTGATTTGCATCCTCAAAGAGCTTTTCTGGACTCAGTGTTTGTTGAGCTTACAATAGTATAGATGCAGTAAAATGAGTATAGTGAACAAGGTCTCACCGATTTTGTCGCGGCCTGTTGCCTGCTTTTGAGGTCGCCTGTTCTCTTGATGTTTCTTTCCTGTTCTGAGGCAGTTGATGAATGAAGCAGACCATGACCTGGACCACATCTACTCCGACTCTCGGCACCGCTGGGCCCATCGTTGGTGGAACACCGGGTGGCTCTGATGGCGGTCCCATCCCGGGCCCGGCCCGGTGTCGAAGAACAGCCGATGCGCATGATGCGCTTGCTGGGATGATGCGGTCGCCAAGTAAGTGTGATGGAGGATTCACCTTGCTCAAGATCGCCCCAGCGAACGGAAAATCATGGATGAGCTCGTTTTGCATGGCATGCCAGCCGTGCCCCTTTGCATTCTCAGTCAATCATAGTGAGTGTGGGTCGAAATCTGGTGCCCTTCCAGCATCAAGACTGGTCTCGCCTCTCAAAATCTCGCCTCCCAAAGAGGCGACCAGCCTGAAACGCATGTTTCCTTTGCCAGCTGGTCTCAGGTCGGGCTTCATATCTGGTCCTTTCATAGAATGGCCAGACCTGCTCAGAACAAACGCGGTCTCGTGTCAGTCTTCTCTTCTCAGGAGATCAAAGCCTCTCGGAAGCTGGCGAACCACAACTTTCGCACGCTGATCAAGGAGACAAGATTGAAGACGCGATGCGGCGGCGCGATGCGGCACGAAGACGGTGCTGATGGTTGTTTCATGTTGTTTCATCCAGAAAAGATTGTGCGTTTCTGGCATTTTCTGAGTTGATCTTCCTGTATTACCAACCCTTGCAGATTTGGAAGAGCTTGGAAGATGGTTCGTGCTCAGGAGTAAGTATGATTTGTTCGCAACGTGTATTTCGCTTTCAGACAATCTTGTTTCAGAGACTCTACTTGAGATTCGAGTCAAGCGTTTTGGCTTCTTTGCTCGTCCATAGTTCTAGAGTCTATAGAGTCTAGAGCACGAGGTGAGGCTGGGTTCCCCATGAATCTTGCTCCTCGATTTCGAGTGGTTGATTTTTACAGCTCCCACATCACAACGATGAAGCTCAAGAATGCTGAGCCCGCAGCCTGCAAAACTTGTTCAATATTCATGGGGAACCCAGCCTCACCTCGTGCTCTAGACTCTATAGACTCTAGAACTGTGGACGAGCAAAGAAGCCAAAACGCTTGACAGAAGGGAGAACGAACCACTTGACAGCTGGTCTCGAATCTCAAGTAGAGTCCCTGAAACTAAGAGTAACTAAGAAGCTACTAGGAACAAGGGGCATTTCTACGAACGGAGCAAGGACACTTCGTTTCGTTTCTGGGGCGCTCCTGGCATGACCCTACTAACAAGAAACACCAGGGAACGTCCGAAACCAGATCTTTGCTTCGTCTCTGACCGAGCCGTGCTTTTCGAACTGAGCTTTTTGGTTCTTTGCTTCGTCTCTCAAGGGCTTTTGGAACCCGAGCCGTGCTCTTCGCTTTCACCGCCTCACCGTTCGGCCCTTTGGAAGCACCCGGAACACGCAGGCGAAGCGGCGACGGACGTGTGCGGCGCTGTGTTGGGTTGGTACGGTGTCGCATCGGTTTTAAAGCACTATAGTGGTAGGTTTGGACATGTTTGGATGGGGGTTTTGGCCCTGTTCTTGTCGCGTTTTGGGATCAAACGTGATCAAACCTTTCAAAGGTTCCATCACAAGCCGTTCCCCGAGAATTCCCACGCTGTGGTTTTCACTGGCGAGATTCAGTCCCCTTTCTATCTACTGTCTAGCTTGGCTGTACCAAACAAATGGAGCTCGCAAAAAAGCGGGCCAGAGTCCAAAGGTCTCTCCGACCATCAGATACCATCTGACTTTTCGAAGTTTTGGCCTCTCCTGCTCATGGACCCTCCTAAGTAGGGTCCAGACCCTGAAGTCTGACTCAAATCCCGGTGATTTTTGGAGGGACCCAGTCGGACCGTGCGATGGCCGTGCTTTGGGAGCGGCCCAAAACGCCCGTGGCATCCGGTGAGTTGGTTCGGTGGTCTCCGCAGGAGCTGAGTCGCATTCAACAAGCCCTGAACCTGGACTTCGCCGTGGCATCGGAATCCGAAGACTCCGACGACGTGGACAGCGCAGGTCGGCGGAACGGCGTGAAGCGCGACGCGCCGGTCGAAGCGCGGTGACGGAACAGGGTCACGAAAGCAAGTGAAAACACCGGGGTGCAACGGAGGGCAGACTGTGTATTCGGAAGTACCATGAAGTATATATTGTATAATATATATTGTATTAAATATATAACTCTTATACACAGCTGTATTGTATCGTTTTAACAGGATCGGAATAGGATGTTTTAACCAACTCGTCGGGTGCTTTTTCATGCTCCGACGAGTTCACAATTGATTTCTGCGTTCTTGAGAATGACCTTGTGCAATGAGCACTAGTAGACCAAATGAAAGAATTCCAATTAATCAATGACTGATGGCTTTTTAGTAAATAAAAGAGAATGCTCTTAAACTGTTCGTCCACAAAGTGGACACAGTTTCAGCGTCACATCCGATCATGCACATGATCTCCAAAGAAAACGTCGCGTCATCTGCTCGCCTGCGGATCGGCAGCTTGCAGACCTGGTCTAGACCTAGCTGTCAGACCGAAAAACATGGCCGATGCCCCATGTTTCGCTCGACGGATCCCCCAGAACCTTTTCGGGTATACGGGGCGTATCCAACCCCCTCCCCTGGACCATCCAAGGAACGGAACAAAAAGGCGATCATGACCCTATAAAGTAGGTGCTTATCCATTTTGTGAGGTACTTGGAGGGTCCAGGCTTATCCTTTGTTCGTGTATTTCTCAACCAATTTTGCCGGTCCAATCCATGGGGGGTGCCTTAAGACATATTCCAGGGTATACCCTTACCTGTTGGATTGTTGTTGGACTATTTTTATATGCGATACCCCCCCCTTCAGCTGCTTCTGGAATATGTTTATGAGAGATCGTGAATATGATGGAATCGTTGGCGATGATCAAAAAGTAGGTGAGGATACCCTTGGGATAATATATATAGCCAAAGGTATACCCCGGAATATTTAATTAAGGAGATTCTAAGTTTGGTCAGACTTTTTTGACACAATTTAAACAAAAAGGTTTCTTCAGTATTGAATGCCTAGATATGCCAAGGTTGTTGTGTTTTTGACCCTGGGGCTCTCAGATAGCCAAATATTCCAGAAGTACCTCAGGAATCCCATACCACTGAAGTATTTCATAGACCATTGATTGCCTTATCTGGCTGCTAGGCATACATGGAATACTTGTTTGTTGGACGTTGAAGTATCCTGGAATATTTGTTACAGACATATATTTCAGGACGTTTAACCCCCCCCGGAATAACTGTTGCTGTGAAGCCCCAACCCAAATATTTAAAACAAATCCTGCAGGTATCCACAGTATAGGGTACGTATCTAACCCCCCATTCCAATCCTATGTCATGTTGATTTTTGTACGTTTATAAATATAGTATTACTGTATGTATATAAACCGGACCATTCTGTCTGGGTATCCCTTAAACTCCCCTAGACTGCTCATTAGACATCCATTTGGATGGTACATGTGTGCATGTGTTTGATGCATATTTCAGGTGGAACCGCCTCGGTGCACGTGACGGTGCGCAAGGCGGGAAGCGGATGGAAGCGGGGAAGCCAGCAGTCGGCGAAGTCGTCGGCGAAGCGGCGAAGCCGTTCGGGTCTGGAAATGCTCGGGGGTGGCTCCAGGCTCCGGGTTTTCATCAACTGAATCTGGATTTGAGAATGGATTTCCTGCACCTTCCCTTCGCCAACATCCTTCATCCGTCTTCCTGCCGATGTCCTCCTCCACCAGGAAGACCCAAAAGCGCTTCATCACTCGAAACCCTGATAGCAAGCAACTGTTTCTTCATTCTAATAGACATCCGGATGGTATACATCAAGCATCAAGCTGCGCTTGACCTGTTCTTCGACCTGTTCTCTTGACGAAAGCATTGGCCCGTTGGTTTGCCCAGACAACACTGGATGGCCGGCTGGCCGCCCGGTGGCCGGGCGCTTCCGCGCCGTGCATCGATCCTGCGGGGTGTCACGTGAGCTCCTGGGAGGTGATGAAGAAGAACCATGCAGCACCCCGAAATACATTCACATATACCCTGGGAGTCAAAGACTATAAAAAGACTGGGCTGACGAACGGGGACCTGATTTCGGGAACTTCCTTTACTTCAGCTGGTCAAAATATAGTCTTTGGACTTCCAGGGATTGATGATCATATTTGGGTCAGGAGTCACAGAAAAATGAAGACCCTCCCTCGTCTAAGATGACCTGCTCGGATATTGGCAGACCTTCTTAGTGCCCTTTTCACCAGAACTCACTCCCACCTGGTAAGCCTTAGAGAAGTGGTTTTGTGAAAGTGACGACTGCCTGGAAAACCCCAGCACCCAGAAACAAGCGGTTGTTCCAATATGGCAAGAAATCCTTTACACAGGAAATGGATGGGACTGGGGAGTTCCCTCCATTTCTGGTTGGGACTGGCGAAACCCCAGGTGTTTGGTCGAACATGAAGAAACCCATGCGGCGAACGGTCGAACGGTTAAACCAGCTCGAACCCGTCGCATCATCACGTCACTGGAGCGGGTGACCCTGATGAAAGACAGAATCATCCTGAACTCCAACTGGCCGAAGTGAAGGAATTCCAGGAACCAGAAGCCTCCAGACCCGCCAGGCTTCCACCGTGGCGGTGGCCGTCCCGCTGGAGCCCTTCTCGCCCTCGTCCTCCACGGCGGTGTCCGTCGCGGCCGCCGCGGCCTCGGCGCCGCTGCCGCTGTCGCCGGACCCGGCGGCAGAGCGGGCGGCCTCGGCGCCCATGTCGGAGCGCAGCAGGCGGAGCGAGGGGTGGAGCGGTGAAGGTGACCTGCAAAACGACATGACCCGAGGAGCCGGATATGTAGTAAGATTTTACATTATAGTCCAGTATAGTTGTTTTGTGTTTGACTCGAAGCCAGTTGGTCACGGTCAAGCCTTTGCATATCAAGCTTGCACACTTCCGCTATCCATAGCTTAGCTTAGCAGGGATGCCACTCGCTGTTGCCATTGGCCTTTTGACTTCCTGGCGCAGAAGGTCCATTCGCTTGCCTGGAGACGAGCCAGAGGCCGGCGAAGCGTTTGGGGGTGGAATACAGGTGGGGTTCAAGTAAGGAACATCCATGGTGTTCGTCATCGTCGTCATCCTAATGAAATTGCATGAGGTGGTTTCTCACTGGATTCAATAAGTTTCTACCAAGGGGTTCTCCAAGGTTTCTGAGTTTTCTAGCAGTTTCCATGTTTGTTGACTGAGGGTCATCCGGGTAGCTGACGTCGTAGGATGGTGACAGGAAGCAGGTTCGGGCCCAGGCGGGGGGTGCTCTGGGACCTTACTCTCCTCTTCAACAAACATGTATAAGACATTCTAAGACCGCTGTATACTAGCGATGGCCTCCAACCAAGCAGCTTGCCTCCACCCTAGGTGCGCGAACGAAAGGACACTCGGACATCGAACCTTACGATGTTCCTCGACTCCAAACACACCATGTACCACTTCCCATGTTCGCTCCTGATGTTCTGCCCCCCCCCCCACCGGTGCACCGGTGCACTCCCGGTGCACCCGAAACCTGCAGGGCAACTCCCGGCGGCCCAGCCGGGCCAACAGCCGCGACCGCGATCCAGCAAGCGAAGCGCCACGAGGTGGGGGCAGTAGAAGGAGCAGCAGCAGCCCAGCTGGTCCTATGTAATCCAGGAAAAAGAACATAGATAAGCTGCAAAATCATTTGGGGGGGGGTCATAGGGGGAACCCCACTCAACAAGAAGCAACAAGAACTGGTGGAAATCGATGGAACATCGTTATACCATATGTGATAGAGCGACGTCAAGATTTCCCGTATAGAATGGGTGACCTCAAGGCCCATTATAACACAGTGTGTGTGTGTTGCTTTTTTATTTTTTTTAATAAGAAAATATCACTGAGGGAGTCAGAACACTGACTATAACAATGTAACAGTTACTGTAATAGGCCCATATAACAGTTATAATGTTGTGTTATTTTCCAGACAAACTGAGGGAGTCAGAACCAATTTGAGCCAAAGCACCTTTTTCTCAAGTGGTTCTGAACGGTGTGATGCAACTGGATTTGGACACAGTTGCTTTCCAAGGCATCTACAGAATTCTACAGCAGTAACATCAGTCTATAAATGTGTATGATTTACATCTTTGGAAGGAAATGACCACCAACCAGTGTGTCGAACGCATTCACCCGAGCTATGATGCAAGGCTTCTTGAAAGGATGTTATATAGGTGGGATGTTATATAGTTTGGAACTCCAAATGCAGGTCACCTGTGTGTTTTGCAGCAGATTGACACATACCAGCATCACCCTACGAGGGTGGTGAAAACAGACCCCCACTGCATAGTACGTCGCATGTGTGTTGCCATCCCAAAACCATCCAAATTGCCTTGTGTTTCCAAGGAGTCACCGGTCGAGTCACCGGTCGCGATGTGGGTGTTGTAGACCTCGTCCCATCCAGTGGATGTTCGGATGTTCTGACCCCGACTTCCTTCCGTTCGGAACCGGCACCCGCGGCTTGGTACGACTCCTGGTTGGTTTGTTTCGTCCCGTCTGGTGGCTGGCGCATGCTGGCGCGCTCCGGTCATTTCTTTGGACGAGCCGAAAGGACTTGCTTTTGAGCAGGTTTTTGGTGGGACACCGACCCACATCCTAGAGATGTTCGAAGGTAGGACTCTAGGAACGCTCGATGATTCCTGGTGCAGAATCTCGCAGATGATGAGTGCTAATGTGGGCGAGAACTGGAGAGTAATGACGGGTAGTGGTAGTGGGCAAGAACCAGGACTTGGTGGATGGCCAGTTCCAGAAAGTTTACCCAGGCTTACTGTATGTATTTCGGTGTATTTGGGATATCTGACACTGGTGAAAAGGATCTTGGTGGATGGCATGTTGTTCCTTCTCGGTTGCTGCAGTACTCCTTTACGAACGGTGAGGCGTCCTGCATTTACCTTGAGGACGTTGTAGAGTTGTAGAATCTGTGGGTATACCTTCAATGTGCAGCATGTGTTTAGGATTTGTGTCAATTGGATGTGTGTTGGTCGTCAACTTGAATCAATATACTGTATATGATATCGACTTGGAGGCTGGAGAGGAGCTCTGCGTGATGAATAGATGCGTCCGATGGGGCCGCCGGCATTCCTTTCCCGGGAGGGTTCCTGCGCGCCAGCCGGCCGAGCCGTTTGCGCGCCAGACGCCCTCACGAAGCGTTTCAAGCGCGTCCGGGAGTTTTGGACTCAGACGCAAGTGGAGCTGGAAGAACGAGGAGCACAGACGGAGCCCATGAGGCGAGGGTACCCTCGGATGGGTTTCATGGGTGAACGGCTCAGACCTGGGGCCGTGTGGCCCTGGAAGTGGTTAAGGGTGTGGCCCCGAAGAGAGTAAACATGTGAAGGGTGAAGAGGTTTGAGATGGCTTGATGATATTGAGTATTACATCCGATTACATCCCACCAATATTCAGCCCCTTGGGTACTGATAGCTCTATGATACATATATTGATACATCTCAGCCCGGTCGAACTCTAGGCGAAGGGGAATATGTCTTGGATTCGCAGAAGTGTTGCCATCGGTTTCCACCGCTTTGGGAGCCGCTGAACTTGCTCGGTGGCCTCGCCTACCCCCCCCACCCTTGAACCACCTGAAGCATCCTTTGTAACACTTATTTCTGGCGAACCATGGTTTGGAGCACTTATTTGAAGTTTGAGCGTTAATTGAGGGTATGCACACTTTTCAGGACATATGAGCGCTTTTTGGTGTTGTAAATTCTAAAGCCTACTGGTTCCTGACCAGTGTCCTTATCAACCCTTGTGGGACTTTGGGGGCCCTATGGACCGGGTGGAAACCAGTGGAAATCCTATATTATGACCTCTCCTAGTATGTGCAATTGAAAGCACAAAGGTTTGGTTCTAACCTTCTGGGCGTGCTTTACAACACTTTTTCCAAGAAGGGTGCCCGCAACTTGGGCGCGAATTCCCGCAACCCGGGCGCAATTTGTAAAAAGTGGCGGATTGTTTTGTTTTTTTTTTTAAAATGTTTTTTTACTTAATATCTTTTATGTTGATTCTGAAGATCAAAGAAAGGGGTTGCTGGCTGCCGCTTCGTAGTGTGTGAGCGTGTGTTGTGTGTGCATGGGATGGGTGCCAGCATGTGGCAGGGGAATGGACTTGAAGACCACATAAGGTGGAATGAAGCTACATCTGACTTTCCAGTGGTACTTGTACGCTTTTTCAAGGCATGAACGCTTTTTTTTGATGATGTGCAGTTGTTTTTTCTGTCACTTTTTTCTGCTACGACGGAGGGTTCAGGCAGGCGTGAAAAACACGCACCCGGCGGAACAGCGACCGTCGTCATCGTCGGTCTGAGCCCGGACCGTCTCTCAGCTCCAGGCCGGCGAAGAAGAAAGAGCGCCTCGGCCGGTGTGTCGGGCGGGGAGTGGCGGCCGGCGGCCGCGGCTCTGCTTCCTGGCGGCCGCGGCTCTGTCCCAGAGGGTTCCCAAGGTTCCCAGGAGTGGTGTTTGTTGTGACGGTGTGATTTGGCGGTGTTGATGCTGGCCGGTTCCTGGGTGAATCCCTTGAAACGATGTATGAAGATGTTCTAAGTTCCTGGACAGCAGACCTCCAACTCACTCGTCACAGACGCTGCCTTTGGAGGTGCATGGGCCACACACCTGCCATTTCCATTTTAAATATAAACTTATTGCGATCTTCTCTCAATCGATGTTTGCGCTGACCGTGTTTGATTTTGGGAGAGCCATCAAGCTTTTTGAGAAATGTTAAGAAAGAAAAGACGAAACTTAATACATATAACATATATATATATATAAGTAGTAAGATGATTGGGCTGCCTCAGATTGTAAAACACGCTATGTGTCTCAGGGCCGGCTTCGGCTCCTTGTTCGGCAAGAAGGAGAGGGCAACTGGTGGACACGGGTTTGAACATTGGGATGGCTTGGGTGCCTTTTCCTGCTGCTTTCAGGCCATGGAGAAGGTCAGGAACTCTGCCTTGCTAGACATTCAAACAGCCCAAGACACAATCGACCATCTTCGACCTTCGCAGGGGGAAACGGAAGGCGGCGTTGACCCGCCCTGAGGTCGGTCCGGACGGATCCAAACTCCACCCTTTCTCCAATGTTCTTTGGGTCCGGATTCTTTGCCAGGGAGGGATCGAGTTTTCTCAGCCCCCCAAGCCTTGTGCGAGTGTGGGACAGAGCGCTTCTGTGTGCTGGACGCACTGCGGGCAGGCTTGTCTTGGCCAAGAGCATGGCATTCTCTTGGGCGCACTTTGGGATAGCTGAGCCAGTTTGCACTCCAGGTATATGAACCAATGTCATAGAAACATCACAAAACCTATAGCTCAGATCCTTTAAACAAACATACACATGCATCCACATCGGTCTCTTCTCACTCCACGGCTTCGAACGACCGTTCTGAAGGACAAGACTCCCGCCAGTAGCCGGGGGCTCAACGTCAATGACTTGGACTCCATGAAAGCCCGAGCGCGAGACATGGCTGAAGCAGACCTAGTGATTCAGCCTGCAGCATGTAGACTCTTTAGGAATTGTTCAACTTATTTCAACCCCTGAATAATGAAGAGGTTTCACAATGGTGGGGGAGGCTATTCATCAAGAGTCTTCTTTATCTTCTACGTACATCCTTGTACCCTCTCAAAGCCACCACACTGGGAAGGAACATAAGGAACATGGATCCTCAGCATGCTCGACTGACGACTCTTGTGTAGACAAAGCTGACAGGGGGCTTTGACGTAGTCGCAGACTTGTGCAACTAACTATAGTCAAGTTGCCGACTCGTTTGTATAGATGGCGTACATGCCACATGGGCTGACAACATGAGTTTGCGCGATCTTATGTGTTGAGCACATTGGATGGGGCCCAGAACCTCCCAGTAAATGGTCATTGTGGATGGCGTAAGCAATCATCCTCTCCTTTGCAGAACGTAGAAAAGTGCATTGAGAGTAGATCGATGGCACAGACCCCAAGAGGTCGTTTATATGGACCCCCATCATTTGGGGTGAAACCTCAGGGGTCAATGTAGGTCGCCAGTCCCATGGCCGGCCAGCGGTTTGTTGGACACCTCGCTTGCTCGAAGCCCTCCAAGGAAAGGCCTTGATGCGCCCGCAACATGGCGGATCACTGGACGCTTCGTTGCTGTGGAGCGTTGGATGTTGCCAGCGTTTGCCAGCAACCTCCTAAGGAGGAAGGTCCCATAGTCTAGGCAGTTGGAATGCCAAGTGTCCGCATGCCTTGGCAAACCGATGCCACCCTCCTTCCTTACCAAGCCCCCGGAAAAAGTCTGCTATACCCTCCTTCCTCGGGCTTCATTTTTGACCTCTCAGCTTCGCCTTCTGCACCATTTGATGCTTCCCAATCACTGGATTTGCACTTCCTCCGTCGCTGCCCCGCCCCAACACCATCGACTCGGTCGACCGTGACCTACCGCCGTCGCGGTTCGCGGTTCGCGGTTCGCTTCGTGAGGCAATACGACGTGACCAACTTCTACAAGACCGAAGGGTGCTTCCAAGCCATTGCCCGGTGCGGGACCTTGGAGGGTTCCTAACCACCCGGAGACCACCCGGAGCCCACCCTGTCGGGTGGGTGGCTTGCAGATGGAAAAAACTGGTCTCCACATGTCTCCACCGTTCCGATGTACAAAGAGGAAGTCCGTTCCGGGTGTGAGTTGATGTGTTTTTGACCATGTTTTGACCCCAGCTCGGCGTTGGGAGGTCCGACTCCACGGCGTTCCGACCTCGAGGTCCAACCTTTTCGATCAGCTCACGGTGACGGTCGTGTGCCTCAACGCTGTGTGGATCGCCCCTCGGATGAAGACAAAGCTGCTGTGCTCGGCGGTCGGTGAGCAGAAACAGCTTGGTGGTGGGAGAAGGGGGGCTCACTTACTTGTAGTGGAGGTATGAAGATATCACTTTCATGACATATTATACATTGTAATATGGGTTTATCATCTTATATTACTACAAATTACAATAATTAATCATATATTACTATATTTTATATAAGTATAATGTGTTTTATCTCGATCTCTCTCTATACAGTATATAGTTATATACATAAATTCAATCTATTAATATTCCCTTTTGCATGGGTTCACTTTGTTTGAGTGCTCCTTCATGGAAGGAAACAACACACTACACCCCCGGGATTGCACGTGTTTATGCTGGCCCACAGCCAGGAGGTGTACTCAAAGCCCACTGGCAAATTCAGAAGAATTCTCGAGCTATGCGTGAGCCAAAGTTTCCTTATCGAGGCCATCGACACTGACAACAACACCGCCCTGTTCTTGACGCAGGCAAGGGGTTGTGGGAGCCATATCGAGCTATGACCATTAGTGGGAGGTTCTGCAAGGCAGAGTTGGCTATACGGTTTGATAGGTCTCTTTCAATGGCAATGCGGCAAACAATCATGGAGCAAGACATGGGAACGTGTTCAACAGATGTGCTCCGCATCGCCACATAGCGACCTTCTTCTCATCCTTGACATCACTCTGGAGCATCTGCCCGCAGAACACAGATTCCTTGGAGGCGACCATGTCTTGGTGCCGCGGATTCCCCGAGTGTAGAAGGGACTTTCCAACAGTACGGCTTTGATGGGGTTTTGTATGGTTTTCTTGTTATGTTATGTTTTGTTGTCCAGCTGGCGCCAGACACTGTAGATGTCTTTTTGCAATCCAAGCTTTCTAGGTTACTGGAAGATCTATTTGGTCACCAAACATGCACTAAAGATACTAACGTCACTTTGAAGTGGAAGATCAGGTGATGGAAGTGTTTCCATCTACAGTACCCTTGAATGGATTTAAGAACAGCTGTGGAGGGAACGCAAGAAAAAATCG